GCACTTTTACCCTCCTGCCACATTATTTTTTAAGCCGAATCAAAGGTCCCTATATTACATTACTTATGGTAAAAAAGACTTTCACTCTTCACATCCACTCATCTCCACTAACCCTGGCACCATATTGTAAGAACTCCCCAGTTATAAAAAATAGAAATAAATCAAAAAGCGAGCCAAATTGTAGGCCTATCAGTTCAAAGTGTTCAGGTTTCATGCAAACACTGTTAAGAAATAAACTGTTTGCTTTTTTCCTCCCAAGATAAAGTTCGTTATTAAATACATTATCTGACTCTTATCTGTCTTTCTTCACCATATTTTTAATGAGAGAGGAGGAGCGTGTAACTTGCTGCAAACCCACCCAGATTCATTTGCACCACTCCCCTGTCTGTTGTACTGAAACACAATATAGAAACCCAACACAACCACAACACATTTTAGATATTTAAAGGATTTCCCTCATTGTGTTATTTGATTATTTTAATTATTGATTTTAAGATGGGGCAACTGAAAAGTTCCTAGACTTTGTTTTATAGTTTTTGTCCTATTGTTATTGATATCCTGCAGTCTTAATGTTTTTTTTTTTGTTTTTTTTTTTAAACTAGTTAGGGTTAAAGGAAAATAGAGGGGAACAAATGGGGAAAAAAAGAAAAAAGGAAAAAAGAGGGAAAAAAAGGTTGAAAATTATTTTTATATTGCATGGTGAGCAGAGTGAACAGATTGTGATGGTGTCATGGTGATTGATTAACCCTTTACTCTCCTTTCCCCTCCCCACTCCCATGGAGCAACCGGGACTGAAGAGGACGGCTATCCTGAACGGTCCCTACAAGTGCCAAGATCTTCTGTCTGTCTTTAACCATGTGTTGAAGTGCATCAGTGTGTGATGTACTGCAAACTGACTAGTTTTCACAGTGCAGCAGTAAAGACAAACCTTCAGGGAGGAATCTTTGACAGAACACAGTGTCTGTCAGGTCGACCTGTTGTTATTTCAGTCCAACTGAATCAGTGTGCATGATATTTACTCCATCTCACTGCCAAACAGTGTTTCTATGTCAGGAGGCTCCTCTTTGTTACACAAATCTTCTCTTCTAAAACTAACATTGGAATGTGGACAGGAAGGATCCCAAATTGGGATATTCTTTCACAAAGTTTAGTCTTAATACATTGTTTAATTTTACATTTAAACTGCACACATTTCAACAATTTACAGCACTGGAAATGTATTTAAAAAAGCTGCGGATGACGTAAAGGTGAGTCAAGTTTGAATAATAGAAGCTTATTTTCCAGTGCAACATCATTTTAGTAAGCATTTGGTTGACTGTTTTTCTATTATCTTAGATGTAAATATTGCACATTTCTTTCAGAAACATACTAAAAACAAGCCCCGCTGCTTGCCAAGGAAAAATAAATAAAAATCAGATAAGAGTCGTAATTAATTGAGCAAGCTAACATAAACTTGATTTCACTTTAGCTCATATACAAAACAACAGTGGTGAAACAAGTAGGCTCCTCTTCTCCGGCCACTGAGTCAAGCAGTCTGTGTGCATGAGTAAGCCTCAGTGCATGACGTGTCCAGATGTAAACAAACCAACGTGTAGGATGAGGAACTACAGTGGTAAACAATAGTCTCAAGTTGATCGTTTATGTTACTTATCCTCAAATGAAGCGATGTACTTCTCTGCCTCCGACACCTCCTGGAAAAAAGCTGATCGGAACCATTGATCAGTCTGATGGTAGCTGGATAGATTAAGAAGGCTTGCATACCCAGGACTGTTTATCACCGGGTAGCAGGGTCATCTGCGCTTCATAGTGTGGTCGCTGAAGTCCGCGGTGAAGAGGATGGTGCGGCCGGCGATCTCCACTGGGTTCTTCCTGGACTCCTTCAGGATGCGGTCGCTTTCCAAGAAATGAAGACATTTGAAGATCAGGACTCGAGCAGCAGATGAATGCTCTTGCTGGCGTCCCATGCAATGTGCTCTCATGATCTAAGGAGGATTATTAACGGGGGGCTGGGAACCACTTGGGGATATTAGCAGAAAAGTAGGCTAATGCATTGTCCTTCTCCTCACCCTCTTTGAGGAATAACACCTGCAGGTTATTCCTCCTGTCTCTGTCCTCCATATCCGTAACTTTAGCTTCAAGTTGATTCCTCAATTCACTGTTTTGAGCGGCCGTTGTTTCCACTTTCTGTAAGCGCTCCTGCATCTTTGACGTAATTGCACGCTGGGTTTTAATTTCTTCATCGTGTTTGGTTAAGGTTGCTTGCATTGTTACCAGCTTAGACTCCAAGCGATCGAATCTTTCATTGGTATTTTTCTCGGCTAAGTTGAAATATCTTTGTAGTGTGGCTTTGAGAGACGCCATTGTCAGTTGGCTGTCATTAGTCTCCACCGGATCCATTTGTTTGTTTGTCGTTTTCTCTTTCTTGCCACGTGATTGCGTTGTTGTCATTGCCACATCAAACAATGAAACTTGTTAAATTTACCACTGTTAAAGCTAAGTGGAGTCTGTTTCGTCAACAATAGAAGGTTTGCTCAAACAATTGCGGGGGAGAGGAGCTGAGTTTCCCTACTCTGCCATCTTGGTGACCTACCACAAAAAAACATATTACCCTTCTAAACTGCCCTTTTTAAATGTCTAAATGGCATGGTTAAAAACAAAGAGAAAAACAACATGTACAAAACATCAGGTACTTAATAACAGCACATATAGAAATATAAAACCAAAAATGTATGACATGAGTATATTCAAAATGTATGAATAACAGCATTTTAAGACTATTGCGTAAAATAAAACAAACATACTACAACAACAACAACAACAACAGAGACAAAACGAAGACGCAAGCTCACAGAGAAAAGTGTATCTGTTAGTGGCCCGCTGAGCCAGTAGTTATGTTCCAGGTTTTGCCACATACCCTAGAAGGTGCATAAGTAGTGTTAATTGCCACACACCTGTGTTTGCCACACAGAGCATGTTTGTTGCACAGAGAGGTGAAGAGAGCTGAGAAGCACAAAGTAAGTTCTAATTGTTTGCCATACTGTCTGCTTGGTTTTATATTTGGTATGACATTCATGTGAAGTGTGTTTCTGTTCAGTGCAGTTTGGTTCGTGTTCCTGTTACCATTTACTACTTGTATGAGGAGAGTTTGCACCCTTGGAAGGCGAAGCGAGGTAGGCTATGTGGCATTACTGGCATGTTTTGTTGTATTTGTGTGCCCCTAGTTTCAGTTTAATTATGTGCAATATTGCAATGTTTTAGGGTTGACTGTATAATAATAAAATGTGTGTGTTTTTAAAGAAAATGTTAACTATGTGTTTGGGTAAAATGTGAGACGTTTTAATATGTGCAAATATTATTAACATTTTGTTATATGTGTTTTTAGTTTCACGGTGCTCGATGGATGAATACAGTTTTTGCACCAGTCGAACTCTACGCTGTTTTATTGATGCCAAGGGCTGCTACAGTATCCACTCAGAGGAAAAATTGCACAACTTTCCAAAAGCTTGGTATTCGTTTTTGTTTCCTAACGAACTGGGTGATGTAAGAGGAGCCTTCAAAAAAAATTCTAAAAATTCAGGAGGCGACTTTGATCATCTCTGCTTATGAATAAAAAGTTTAGCATTTCGAATAAATTGAAGAATACTTTTATCTGGATCATCGTAATAACAAATAACATCACTGAGGTTTGAGGAGTAAACTGAATTAGAGTTTTCAAAGAGGTGAGATTCCACATTGCTCCAAAGTCTTTTGGACTTTTCATATTGAAGAAAAACAACCAAACAAAATCTATTAATACTTATCAGAATATACAACTGTACAGTTAATCTGAGTCTTTATCAATCAATCAATCAATTTTATTTATAAAGCCCAATATCACATATCACAATTTGCCTCACAAGGCTTTACAGCATACAACATCCCTCTGTCCTTAGGACCCTATCCTGACGTCAACTGTATTACTTTGTAGATGATCTTTTTGGCTGCTGTATCAGTTTCCATCACTTCTATCAACTAATTTATAGTAGACTAAATATATGCTAAATGTAACAAACTCATCTGTATTTCTCATACCTGACAACCACCAACAGTTTCTGATGTACAAATGTAAACTACAGTGTTATTCAACTGAAAACAGATTGTGTTGTGTGATTTGGGAGAGGTGGATAATGAGGGCTGAACTCATTAGACAACATTAGATGATTCAACAAAACCCTGAAATATTCTGAATGTTCACATGATGAAAAACTAGAATGGGTGTTTAATTTTGTGGTGTGTAAGTTTATAGATTTCTCTCAATATGAAAGTCACAGAATGTTATATTGATGGCATTAGTTTAATTTTCTTAGGATCATTAGATCTGTAACAATACACAGAAATATAGACATAAAACATGCTGCTTATTTTATACCTCATTTTTTTTAATGTTTGAATTCAGTTGCAAACACATGGTCAATAATACATCGTATTCATCTTGGGACAGTCTTCAGATAAAGTGGGTGGCTCTTAAAAGAGCCGTTGATATAAAATAAAAAACAAAAAAACTGTATACTTGGAGCTGGTGTACTTGGTGACGGCCTTGGTGCCCTCAGACACGGCGTGCTTGGCCAGCTCACCGGGCAGCAGCAGGCGGACGGCGGTCTGGATCTCCCTGGAAGTGATGGTGGAGCGCTTGTTGTAGTGAGCCAGACGGGAGGCCTCACCGGCGATGCGCTCAAAGATGTCGCTCACAAACGAGTTCATGATGCCCATAGCCTTGGACGAGATGCCGGTGTCGGGGTGGACCTGCTTCAGCACCTTGTACACGTAAATGGCGTAGCTCTCAATCCAGGTCCTCCTCATATTCTTGCCGGTCTTACTGACGCTCTTAGACACGGCTTTCTTTGAGCCCTTCTTGGGCGCTTTGACGGTGGTTTCAGGCATGATCAGGACGCTACGTTTCTTCCAAAACGAATGAAGGTTACTACTGCAGAGCGGTGCATTTATATCCACCTATGCAAATAATACTGTGCTGTTGCTCGCACTGGATTGGTCAGCTTCTGAAGCTGGGAAACAATACAGTGGGTGTGTGAGGGGAGAAAGAAGAAAGAAAATCAAGTTATTTAAAACGTAAAAAAAAATAGTTGGCGTTGGGTTAATTATTATATATTATATGAAACGACCATATGCAAGGTATTTGTGGTTTGTGGTGACACACATTGCCAATATTTTATGACAACTCATTATAATATAAGTCAGTGAAGTAACAAAAATAAATTAGGATCTACTTTAAAAAAAATAAAATAAATAAAAAAAAACAACTTTTAAATGATGGGAAAATAAAATGTGAAATGTTACTCTCAAAAGTATCCCCATTCAAAAGTTTGTATGTCTTTCTAAGGTGTAATGAGGAAATATTTTTGATAATATCTTTATATTTAAAATCTGGGAGCCAATAGAAGCCTCCCATTACTACCCAGTTGTGTGTGCATATTGTATGATGTGTATGAGCTTTTAGTGTAGCTCCATATTTGTGCTTTCAGTCAGAGTAAAAACTCTTGGAGCTCAGAAAGTCACAACATGGTTAAATCTGATAAGCATGATGAAGTTTCATCTTGTCTGTCCCAAACCTCCAAGTTTCCACTGTGTGGGTGGAGCAATGGGTCTGTGAGAGCTTTAAAACAAAGAAGAAATGTTCACACTTAAAGTCATTTAAATTGAATTCTAAAGCAAAATTATAAGATGAAAACCACATAGAAAAAAATTAAACCAAATGGGAGACTAAAAAGAAAAACAAACAAAAAAGTAAAAGTTGTCATCTTCTGTTGAAGAAAAGGCAAGGAGCAAAAAAAAAAAATTAAAAAAAAAAAATATAGAAATAAAAATA